TAAAATGTTTTAAGCTGGCTCTGCCATTTATAATACTAACAAAGATGCATATTGATAGTTTGATTGTAGTTAATTCATAAAAGCCATGATAAATGCTATAAAAGGGTCACAAATCAGAGCCAAAGAATAAGAGAAGTATTCACGGTTACTAATAAATTGCTCTGTGAGCGCTTGGCCAGCCTTGCAGGTAATGATGTCACGAAATGATGAAAGAATCGCTAAGTAGCCAGCGAAGTGCCAGTGCTTGGCCGAGGTACCGGTCATTGCATCATTCTTGGCTTAGGGCCTCTGAAAGGTGAATGTAGCCTTAAAAGAAAATGAAAAATCCTACCGATGCAGTTTCAACTGAAAACACCCTTCTTAAAGTTAGAGTCTATCAACACCTGAACTCTCAGAATAGGTAAGGAAAGTACTAGTTAAAAGAACAGGTATATTGTCGATATGCACTCACACTAGTTGACATACACAATACACACCCACACTTCCATTTCCTAGGCTGTGGTCTGTATCTATGAGCTTAACACATACTTTCTGATAGTTATAATGGACTTTCTGAGCGGGTGGATCATAGGTACTATAGTGCAATAAAGCTACTAGCACAGCTAGTTATGAAATGATCTAAAAAAGAGCAAGGGAAGTAGAGGGGAGGGATTTAGAAGCTTATGTACCAGCAGAATACATATTGAATAACCCCATGGTATGAAATCTTGTAACTAGCTATAGTGATGGAAAACCTGTGGTTCCCCTGGACTGAGGGTTGAGGGGAAGGAAGCACTGGCAGGGAAGGGGTACAGGAGGATGTCTGGGGAAAGGGGGGCATTCTATGTCTTGTTTAGGATGGTGGTTACACAAGACTATACATTGGCCAAAATTCACCAAACTACACATTTTCAATAGGTGCATCTTACCGTATGCAAATCATGCTTCAGGAAAGTTGGTTTACAAAGTAGTTTTATAAGATGCTACCATGGGTCAAATTGGGAAAGAGACACAAGAAAAATCTCTTTTGCATTATTTCTCACAACTGGCTATGAATTTGCAATTATCTCAATATAAAAATGTACTTAAAGTTTATAATAGATGTATACAAGAAACAGTGATCATGTGTCATCCAGAAATTTAATTTAATCATATAAAAGGAGCGTATGGTTCCTATCAAATGATTCACCCAAGTTCAATACCATGTCATACTGAATTCTACCTGGAAACATCCAACTTTGCTTGAAAGTTACTAAACAGTATCTAGTCTTTTGGAATTTGTTTTGTTCTAAATTAATCCTAAAATGGCACCAGCTGATACTCTAAAATTATCCTCTATTCATGAAACATGCCATTGTTGTGTATGGTGCGCATCTCACATTAAAATCAAGGCCTTGAGTAAAGTCCTAGAAAAAAGTATGTGTGGCTTGAGGTTTATCTCAGGATCAGAGGTAATAAGAATTTTTTGACTTGTTTTTAGGTACTTGTTAGTTTTTTGTTTTTTTTTAATTTTATGAATGATGGAAGACATGGGATATAGCAANGGGGTACTTGTTAGTTTTTTGGTTTTTTTTAATTTTATGAATGATGGAAGACATGGGATATACCAATGGGGCTATGAAACACGCAGTTGGTTACTATTCTCAGAATAAGTAACCATGTGTTCTAGTTACTAGTATAAGCTTCAAGCTATTACTAAGTTTTGCTTTTAAAAGTGCACAGACTCCAATGCCTCTGNCCATGTGTTCTGGTTACTAGTATAAGCTTCAAGCTATTACTAAGTTTTGCTTTTAAAAGTGCACAGACTCCAATGCCTCTGAAGGCCAGGCTGTTGACATAACTGAGGCCACCCCGATATAAAGCTAAGGGTCGTAGGGAAAGGGCTGCCAAACCGAACAGAGCTCCTGCTCTAAAGAGGTACCAGTTACCCTGAGTTAGCCAGTTGTCGCCATGGGGGATCGTGGACATAGTGGGAGACTATTTTCTGATCAAGAGAAGCCACAGATTGAGAGAGAGACAGACAGACAGAAGTGAATTCTCTTCTTGAAAATTAAACCAAAAATCTGTTTAAACACTGTCCCCACCTGTGACCACCAGTTTGCAACATCAGCTTTATGAACAGCTAAAGAAGGCTTCATGCAGAACATTCCCTAGACCGGCTCTGTCCGTGAACTTGCTTTTGGGTCCACAGTCCCACCGCCTTCTCCCAGCGCCACTCATTCCCACTTGGGCTGAAATCCCTTCCTCGCAGGCCTGCCAATCGCCGGGAACTGGCACATTCTCAAGGCTTACGTTTCCCTGCTTGTGCCAAATGGCTGTAAAGTAATTCACAAAAGCCCTGTTTATTGAGCAATATTATTAATGGCTGGCATAATGCTGTGAAATTGAAGACATTCTTTCTGGATTACGTCCAGATCTTTAAAAAGAGCACTGGTTCCAAGAGGAAATGAATGGCTTATCCTAAAACATTCTTCTAAAAGGATGGGACAGTGTGAAAAGCGCTCGAATGAGTATATTTCCAAACTGTGGCAAGGCAACTTTTCCATGTACATTAAGCCCCACGCGTATTAAAATCCTTTGAATGATAACAAAAGGAGAATTGCCATGTGTATGCACGTTTTATAAAATCATTTTTCATTTTCAACACCTTGTTGAAAATACAGGGCTGAGAAATCACTCAACTTAACAGTCTATTGACTTTCTCTCCCTTCAGCTGCATTTGCCAAATTTTGCTAAAGTGGAAGCTATTTGTTGCTTTTATATTTACGGCTAAATTCATAAGTTATCAAAATATGTCAAACAGGACAATAACAGCAACAAAAAGTCAACTTTTTTATTTTCAAGAGGCACTTAATGTCTAAATAAGAAGCATTAAGCTGTGTTTGACGCCTAAATTATAGTTAATTATTTCACTAGTTTATAACCTAACAGCCACCACCTGAGACCGGGCCTGAAACTCCCAACGTGACTTTTGAAGCCAATCATGAGCTGGGAGACATTTTATGGCTCTATTTTTAAGGGGAACCATGAAATCATCCAAGAATCATAAAATATTAATCACGTCAATGCGAGCGATTCGAGAGAGAGAGAAGAGATAACACGGATGGAGCACCAAGAGGAAGAGGGGGAAGGGGGGGCTGGGCCGGGGGGGGAACTAATGAGTCAAAACAGAACAGAGAAGCCCAGAAAACAACGTATCACATCAAACTAGGAGCCAGTTTTAAAATGTATTTTTAATTACAGTGGGCATATAATATTTTATCCGTTTCAGGTGTACAACTTAGGACTTAGGTATATAACTTAGGACGTGATCACCCCGATAAGTCCAGTACTCACTGACTCTATATGAAGTTATTATGATATTCTTGACTATATTCCTATGCTATACTTTATATCTTGTGACTCTTTATAATGGGCAACTTGTACTTTTTAATCCCTTCTCCCTTTTTACTTATTCCCCCCCAAGCCTCCTCTCCCCTGGAAAACATCAATCCGTTCTCTGTATCTATGAGCTTGTTTTCTTGATCCCAAATCTAAGTGAAATCACACGATATCCGTCTGTCTCTGTCTGACTTACTTCACTTAGCATAACACGCTCGAAGTCTATCCATGTTGTGACGAATGCCAAGTTTCTATTCTTTTACATGGCTGAGTAATATTCCATCGCGCATTTGCACCGCTGCTTTATCTATCTATCGAAGGGCACTTAGGCCGCTTCCATATCCTGGCTGTTACAAAGAACACAGCAGTGGACACAGGGGTGCAAATATCTTTTCAAAAGAGCGTTTGTATGTCTTCAGATAGATACCTGGAATTGAATTTGCTGGGCCACGGGGTAGGCCTATTTTTAATTTTTTGAGAAACCGCCACACTGTTTTTCCATAGTTGTTGGACCACTTACAATCCCACCAGCAGTGCACATGGGTTCCTTTCTCTCCAGTTTCTGGTCGATACTTGTTTTTGTTGATTTATGGATGACAGTCATTGAGACAGGCACGAGGGGATATCTCACTCTGGTCCTAATTTGATTTTGCTGATGATTAGTGATGTTGAGCATCTTTTCACATGTCTCTTGGCCATCTGTGTGTCCTCTTTGGAGAAGTGTCTATTTAGGTCCTCTGCCCAAGGTTTAATCACATTGTTCGTTATTTTTGGTGTTAACTTTTGTGAGTTCCTTATATATTTTGGGGGTATTAACCCCTTATGCGATATATCATTGGCTAATATATTCTCCTACTAGGTAGGTTGTCTTTTCATTTTGTTGATGGTTTTCCTCACTGTGCAAAACCTTTTTAGTGTGACGGAGTCCCATTTACTAATTTTTCTCTTTTGTTTCCCTCGCCTGAGGAAATATATCCAAAGGATATGGCCAAGAGTGACATCCAATAGTGTAATGCCTATGTTTTCTTCTAGAAGATTTTTCTTATATCAGCAATGAACTACATTTGAGTGATGCAAATACATAAAGATCTCTCTGCATCGAAAGACTTTTTATATAAAACCTTTGTATAAATACCCTTTCTATGTAGTGATCAGACTCCCCCCATTTTTAGGGCCATCCATCCAGACACCTTAAAATACTAGTGGTTTTACAAACTATGAAAATGCTGATGAAACAAAGGGGGGGGGCCCTCTCGGTTCAGTTTTAGTAGTTATTTCTCTAAGTNAGGGACCCTCTCGGTTCAGTTTTAGTAGTTATTTCTCTAAGTTTATTTTTTTTAATGAAATTTTCAACATTATTGAGGGCTTTTAATGTTTTCTATCAATTATNGGGCCCTCTCGGTTCAGTTTTAGTAGTTATTTCTCTAAGTTTACTTTTTTTAATGAAATTTTCAACATTATTGAGGGCTTTTAATGTTTTCTATCAATTATTTTTTGGAATAACTGACATTTTAGGTTCTTATCGATTTATTTTTATTCATAACCAGAAGATAGACCAAAATTAAGTTTAAAGCACTTACAGTCACCATTTCTCTCGCCCCCTGCTTTTGAGATTTCCATGCATGAAACAGAGAACTCACGTGAAGTCCCTCTGTGAAGCTTTCCCGGGAGCAGAGGCATTGGTAGGGCTGGCTTGTCGTGTCACAGTTATCGGCGTGACCATAGCACTGACATCTGTGAACAAGAGCATCGGTCAGGCAGTTCCTGAGAAATGTCAGCTCAACTGCAGACACACTTAAGGACCTGGGTACAGGGTGTCCCAAAAAAATGCATACACACGCTTATAGCTCAACGGATGTTTCGTTTCAGATTCATCCCACTGGAATTAATAATTATTTCAAGTGTGTATACATTTCTTGGGGACACCCTGTATATATCCACTGTGTGACTTCAACAAGGGAGGTGAGTGTGTTCATCAACACAAAATCGATTTCTCTTTAGCCACGAGGCTATTCATGGGAAATTTTAAATTAATCCTGAGTACTGAAAAGAATGTCATCAACACCAAAAATACACTGATGGCGAAGGTAGCTGTCAAGCCTACCTGGGTTGTTTACACCTACGCCCACCACGTGGCACACTTGCCAAGAGAGAAGACATTTAATAGGACTATTCAAAACTTACAGTTAGGACTACAGAGTTTAGAATAAACTGGAGGTTGAAGTGAACAAACTTTAATTATTTTTGTTTTTCCATCCCCAAATTAGATGGTTGTTTAATAGCATTATTTTTTTTCATCATGACTTATCAAATAATGTGTATAGATTGGTATTCTGGTCTGGTTTGAAAGATGTACTTTCTTTACAGGGCACAGCGTCCTTCTAGCTGAACCCACTCTAAATGTAGTCTATATACTCACAATTTCTATTCTAGACGGTATGCCACCTGGGAGCTCGTCAGCTATCCATTTATTTAAATATCATCAGCCTACTTTTCAACTATGGTCAGCTATTATAAATTACTTAAGGCATATGAGATGGAAAACAAATATGCTTCATAAAATTGTGAATTCAGAGAGACCACGCCCAGTACTTACAGACTACCTGGTACCACTATTTTAACTCCAAGTCAAACTCCTTCCCTTCGATTTCTAGAATATCTGAAAATTACATTCCAATCAAAGTATTTGATAAATTATTTGTCTTAGATCCAGGTGATCATAACTTCTAAACCCAACAGCTTTGAAAATTGAAGAGCTTATATACATATATGCATAACCCATGGACACAGACAATAGTGCAGTGAAGCCTGGGGGGTGGGCAGGCGTGGGGTGGAGGGGTCAATGGGGAACAAAGGGGGCATCTGTAATACTTTCAACAATGAAGATACATTAAAAAAATTACATAAAATAAAAGTGTCTCTTCTTAAAATAACAAATGTTGCAAAAAGGAAACAGGAGAAGGATTTAAACCTGTTGATGGTGAACAAATAGGCAGCCCGCACAACACTTAGTAATATTTTAATAACACAAAGTAAATAACTCCTGGTGAATTTTAATATCCGTTTAAGCCCCCTCTCTCTTTTCTCTAGGGAGGAAGGGAGCTGAGATTTTTCCAAATTCACTGGTGGCAGGGGAAGGGCTGAGTATCTGTTGTTCACCTGATGCACAAGGCCAAGGGCCACGCTGGGGGCTGACAAGGGTAAAGGCGATGAGAAAAGCCACCTGTGATTATATTCTGTACATTGAGTCAACAATAATTAAAATGCCTACTGTATACCAGGTGCTACTCTAGGTGTTGGGGATTCATTAGTGAAAAAAACACACACAACAAAACNAAAAATGATTCTATTATAATAGGATCTTATCGATAGAAAAGACTCACAAATCTCCCCCAGAAATCATAAGAGTAGGAAACCATTTCGGTACCTGAAGCTTGGAATCCGGCTTGCTCTAAAATCTTAATAGAGTTGTTATTTTTTTAAATATGTCTTTGTTGATTTCAGAGAGAGGAAGGGAGGGAGAGAAACATCAATGATGAGAGTCATTGATCAGCTGCCTCCTGCATGCCCCCGACTGGGGATCGAGCCCACAACCTGGGCCTGTGCCCTGACCTGACCCATAATCAATCCTCGATCTCCTGGATCATGAGTCGATGCTCAACTGCTGAGCCACGCTGGCTGGGCTTAAATTATATAGTTTTAAATAAGTATGACAAAAACCTTGAAAACAAAATTCATAGTGAAAGCAAAGGAAAGCCTACCTCCCGGTGATGGTGATTTCACTGATGGCGTAGTGTCTGTGTCCGGGGCTGGCGGGGGCCTCGGTCGTGTAGTACTGGCCCTGGAAATGAAGCCTTACTTGCGTGGCTTTTACAAACTCTTGAAGAGATGGGGTATTATAGAAATCATTGTATCCAGGCCGGTGACTTGGTCCGGGCGTTAGGACACTGAATGTGACGTTGCCATGGAAATACGGAGTAAAACTGTTGATGAGAGACATTTGAAACCATGAGAAGCTGGTCATACTTTTGAAAAACAAATCAGAACACCGTATTCGTGACAGCTTAAATTCTTCAATCTGGGGGAAAACAGTCCATATATTTCATACGTAAACAATACAGGATCATCGCAGAAAAATATCGTAAAACATTTCCTTGAGGACATAGTAAAAATCCTATTGATCTAGATAGAACCTGCCAAGCAACCTGAAAGCCAGATTATAAAGCACAGATGAGACTGAAAGTAAGCGATACTCTAAGGTCTTTACAGGAAATTTAGAAATGATTTTAAACCCCATTTAGGGAGGAAGCCTAGAAGAATCCACCTCAAGAGAGTTGGCGGTGAAGGGAAGTCTCTACTAGCCTGCGGGTTAGTTACCTGAGGGTTACTACTACCCCATAATCCATGAACATTAACTCCCAAATGCCTCCAGAGATCCCTGTTTCAAAAACATTCCTACTTGGAAAGCTGAAGACAGTTGACAGAATCAGGATTCTCCAAATCTCCGTTGTCTTTCATTCCAAAAACACTGCAATTTCTAGCAAAATATTGCCAGTCTTCCCAGTCCAGGCTGTCTTCTTTCTTCCTCTGTATCTTTATTGCTGTTGGTTGTGAACTAAAAAACTGGATAATGACATAAAACACCTGGAAATAAGTAAATTAGGTAATGTCATTGACGTTTTTTTAAGTTTAACCCATCAGTAAAAATCAAACCATGGAACTGCTGGATGCCAACAGAGTGCCTTCCTTCCTCAGCATAACTGTCAATTATTTATTAGATATTCGGAAAAGTCACAGACCTATGGTGAAAGCCACACAATCTCTCGTTGCATAGCTATGCCTCTTCTCAAGGAGTTTATAAATTAAAGCGGAAATCAATATTAAGTTTGATATAAAGGCATGGAAAAAACAACATTACTTCCATGAAATAATCGTTATATGTTCCTCTTAAGTAGTTACTTAAAATAAGCACATGTTTATATTAACGTGTGCTACTTAATATTAGAAGGAATGTTTCACTGCTTCGTATGATTTTGATACCAATCTCTTAAAAAATTAGGCCCTGCGTATGCTCCTTTGGTGAGGTCATGCCCAATGGCCTGACTCAGCGTTTACTCTGTAGGTTGAATTGTGTCACAAAAATAGATGTGCAGGTTCTAACTCCTGGTGCCTGTGACTGTGACCTTGTTTGGAAAGGGGGTCTTTGAGGGTGTAATCAAGGTAAGGATCTCAACACGATGCAGGGTGGCCCTCACAAGAGAAAGATGAAGAAGGACTGACAGAGGCAAGGAAGGAGCCACGGATGGTGGAGGCAGAGGCCCGAGTGATGCCGAAGTGAGCCAGTAACACCAGCGGCCTCCAGGAGCTGGGGGAGGCGGGGCGGAGGGTCCCCTACAACCTCTGGAGGGAGCACGGCCTGCCCCAAGCCTTGCCTTCATTTTTCTGACCTTCAGAGCTCGGAGGATACATTTCTGTTGTTTTAAGCCACTAAACTGCTGGTAGTTGGTGGCAATACCCACAGGAAACGCCTACGCGCCAAACTGCTTCAAATTACCTGATATTGTCCATTTTCCAGATCTACTGAAATGGTCACTCCTTGGTTAAGCTGGGTCAGGTTTGCAAACACACGTGAGACCCATGAAGTGCCGATATCATTGTCGTTGACAAAGGCAAGAGGGTGGGCCTCGGGGTGCAGCCGGGACACCCTGTTGCCGGTGGTGTCCCCGGCGTCGTTAGGGATGCAGTCCCGCTGCCGCAGAGGGTGGGCCCGCGGGTGGCTCCCGGGACAGCGGCACTGGGGCTGGACGTGCAGCTTGGGCAGCTCCCCAGAGAAGACGGCCAGGATCTCCCTGTGGGTGTCAGGGGCCGACGGTCAGCACACAGCTCAGCAGCGACAGGGCTGCTAAGGGTTGTTACGAACCCACCCCACTATTTTAATGTTTTCATTAGTATCTATTTAGCTTTTATAATTTTTTTTTTTTTACACAGAACATACAACCCAATTCATTCCTGGCCACCTAAACATACCCATGAGACACACTCATTTTATAAAAAAACACTAAATTCTTAAGTATTAGCATTTTTCTTTCATGAAGCATGAACCATCTCTTGTCTGACTAGCAAGATATTTATTTAAATAATGTAATATTTGTGGTGCCTATCTGCAAGATATTTATTTAAGGAACATAATATTTTATGGGGCCTATTTGTAATAAAGAGAGGGTGTCCCCCCAAAAAATGTATGTGCACTTTAACAGCTGATAGCTCAACTTTGAAAATAAGAAGTGTTTTAATAAACACTGTCTTTATAAATACTCAATTACACATTTTTGGAGACACCCTATATATTGAAAAGAATGAATTCTAGATGGGGTCTCCAGGTCATCCACAGGAAGGAACACAGCAAGTATAAGTTCATCTGCTGCTGTTTTAGGGGAAGGGCCTGAGGCCAAGGCCATTTGTCAGTGGCTTCCTGTGAGTCATCAGTACAGATCCTGGCACCTAAATTGCTTCAATGGCCTCAGATCACATGGCGGCTGCCAACAGCCAAAGAAGGATGCCAATTCCAGGCAGACAGATTTAATTTTTCCACTAAGGGCAACAAAGCTGTTCTAGACCAGAAGTAGTCATTCTCTTTATGGGCTTTCTTCCACGTAACCCCTTTCCAGACATTTGAGGTAGGCCAACTTCAGGAACCTAGGTCTAACTAGAACCACCAGGTTCCTTCTCTCAGACCCCAGTGGGCGACGGAGGAGCCAGGCAGCTGTTTACTAAGTCACCTGATGTCACACCTTCCTTAGATCCCATTGGCGTTTTTCAATTGATGTCGGGTTTTACATGGGACCAGGAGCGACTATTCCATGACAACTTTGTCCCCAGGGCGAACTTTATTCCCCCCAAATTACTGCAACGCTGCTCCTTGTAAATTCGTTTTTTTTATTTTATTTTTTCCATCACCATTTATCCCCTCCATGCCCTCTTCTGCCCTAACCCTAATATTCATGCTACTCTGACTTAGGTAAATTCAACATTTATCTTTATATTTTCAGAGCTTTACAATACCACACCTGCTTACCTGTTTGTAAGTGCTACTTGGTATAATCGAAAATCTTGCATTCTTCCAACAAACGGCTCTGAACCTGCAAAACACACACATGTCCATAGTATGCGATGTCTCAGGTGACCAAGCAACAGCTGACAAATATTCAAGTGGGATTCCTTTAAAGCAATAAAACTTTTAACCATGTACAAACCACAGCCTTTTCAAGTCCTTAGAAACGAATATGTTATATTTTGCTAATTCCACATGAACATTACTATTCATAATTATCTCCACAGACACTTGTCGGGCGTATGTCAAAAGTGAACACTTGGGCCAATCTATCTACTGACAACTTGTCATCTCTCTCCAGAAGTCCCCTCCCCAGGCCAAATTTCTCTCTAGTTTATAAACCTGCACATCTATCGTCTCGTCAGCCCTAAATCTGATTGTCATCTGCTCCCAGATGCAATTTTCGGAGCGTTTGCATTGCCAAGAGGAAGACCTCCCACTCTCTCGTCCTAGCTGTGTGATCGCCAAGCTCCAGGGCATCAGCTGGGGCCCCTCCAAACTCAGACTATTAATTCCTGGTCTAGAAAATCTCCACTGAATGAGGGTACGTTGAAAACCCCTCACTCATGAGTCTGAATTATTTACATGTCCACAGCCTCCTACCACAGTCCCAAGACTCCATCACCTTGTAACGGTTCTTCTGAGACAGCCAGGCCCCGCGTCCAAGCTGCGTCAACTTAGGTGACCCTTCCAGGTACAGGCAGATATCAACCTTAAGGACTGCAATGTCATTTTATTAATGCATTTAGCAAATATTTATTTTAGGCTTTGCCAACAGACAAGTCCAAGAGACTGGGAAGAGAAAAAGTGAGACAACCACCAATTCTACGGTTTTCATTATGTTGTTAATCACGAGAAAAACTTGAAGACGGTGAAATCCTACCTAGAGTTTGATTCGTGGGGACGGGAGATGGGATGTAACATATAAAGCCAATTCAATAATTAAGTGAGTTCTTAAAACAATTTAATTTAGAGCAATGACCAATTCGCCAAATGAGCATTTCCTCAAATGTGTTTGTTTCTCAACTACTCTATTTTTCACTTTGTCTTAATAACAGAGAACAAACGATCGAGCTGTCGCTGCTGCAGCTCCTCGTGGGGCCTTGGAGGAAACTGGGGCAGGGCGGGGATACGTCTGGTGCAGAAAAATGCAGCGTAAACCTAGCTCCCCGAATAGTCTGATGCTGCTCCGAGGAGCGGGAGGAGACAGGTGTGCAAAGAAGGGGGAGGCTTAGGGCCACATGCAGAGCGTGTCTGTGTGTGTGAGTGCGTGTGCGCTCATGTGTACATACACTTAGGTATTTATTTTGTACGGTTCAAAAAATATTTAATTTTGAAGGAAAAAGGAAGGTGGGAAGCCAGATGTAGGGCTGCTGCAGAAGGGGGGGAGGGGGGTTTGACCAGGGGGAAGTGACAAGAAGACGCTGGCCAACTGTCCCAACAGCACTGCGAGATCTCTCTTCTGCGTTGTTGATCTGAAACTCCAACTTCATCTTTAATGAAATCCCTCTATACCTGCATACGCCTTATTCCTACACCCTCCTTTCACTCCGTTTACTTATCAATTTTACCTAAGTGCAAAAAACTCACAGAAAAAAATTAGCATAATCTCAGCTGAGGTTAGAAATGTTAACTGATGGGGCACTGGGAGAAATTAAAAGGAGTGTTCCAGCTCCAGAAACACTGACCTGCCGTCCCACCCATCCGCGCAGTCACTGGTTGATTCTTGCGTGTGTCCTGACCGAGGCTCTAACCTGCAACCCTGGCGGGCACATCGCGACACTTAAACCAACTGAGTTACCTGGCCAGAGCTCACAGCTTCTCTAGGTTTTATGCCCAACTGGAGACATCGAAATAAAGCTACAGCTGGAAGAAATTGCTCTCCAAATGCACTGACACGTGTTGGTTGACATGGCCTAAGGTGTTTCTATTTGTATACTTCAAAACCAGCCTGACCAAGTGAGATTTTCCCGTTAGTATGTATTATATGTGTGGATCCCATATACATGATTATGTATGTACTATCTTTATCTTATGCATATATGCATACATGATGTATGATATATGTATTTTGTATACATGTGTATATATACAATATATGTAGAGATATAGTATAAGTCTACATATCCATTAGTATGTATACAAGGCTCTACGGAAAGATGAAGCCTGCAGCAATTGAAATTGTCATCGGCCACATAGTTTTCCAGAAAGTTATGCTAGTTCGAGAAGAGACCCAAAGAAAAAGTCTGCAGCAGCCAACGCTCATGTGAGAAGTTGCTGCTTCGCGGGTGCAGACACAGGGAAACGCGTGAGGCCACCCCGTGGTCTCCTACAGGCCTTCAGGGGACGTTGCCCGTTTGAGCCGGGTCCGCTCCAAGGCCCGGGCAGCTGGCCTGGCTCTCACGGCAGCACCTCTAACTCAGCTCCCAGGCACCTCCTGCACAGTCACCTCCTGGATGAAACCATCTTGGGCACGGACGAAAGTCTGGAGGACAGTGGCTTAAATTTTTTATTAAAAAAAGGAGCCAGCGAGAGGAAAAATATGATTTATAATAAGTCCAGAGGAACATTCTGTACCTATCTCCTCTCTGATTAGAGAGGTGGCGTGGGGCCTGGCTCATTAGGCACGAGTAATGAGCCAGGCTATATGCCATCTCTAATTAGAGAAAAGATACAGCACGTACAACTGTACCTATGAATTGATAGAATAAAGATAAAACATTATTTTTCAAGATCCTTTCCCCCCTATAGCTCTGCGATGCCCAGAACGTAAAGAGGAAATTGTGATAAGTACTTGGTAACATTGAAATAAACACTTTTCCAATGATATGTTTTCTAATCAGAAGTTAAATTTATTCTTACACAGTTTGAAAAGGCGTCTCACACTCGGTCCACACCACACTTTTGAAGCATGACTTCAATCGTTAGTACCCTGAAGTAGAACCGCGTCGTTTCAACCCCATCACGCATCGCGGACAAATTTATGGCACCAGTGAACACTTTGAGCAACACTCGGTGCCATCAAACACTTTCGGAAGTACTAATGGGGATTAAATATTGAAACAAGGCTCCCAAGATTTAATGCGTCATTAAGAAATTATGCATGCGGCGTACTTTATAAAATTCTTCAATATACTAATTACTAACATAGATGAAAACTTCATCAAGCCGCATCGTTAATATTTATGCATTACGTTGCCCGTGTGTTTCTGCCTGCCTTTAAAATTTTAAATATTTTTAAATTTCTGCCATGCAGAGTTGTCAGGCTTTCTAAAAACCGGAAGAGAAAAACAAACGTGTAGCATAATAGCTACACATTAAAGAGCTTTTTACAAATAAATAAGAAATTCCAGAGTAGGAACACAGACACACGACCAACGAAATGCAAATGATTAAGACATATGTGGAAAGCTGCTCAAACTCCGCAATGGCCCAATCATCCTAAGGGGGCCCCCAACAATACTTTTCAACGAGAGAAACGGCAAAGGTGAAAAAAATGCATCGAACTTCTATTGGACTCGGCACTCAATGCTCATCGGTTACAGTCGCCCGAGGAAACAGACACACCCAGGTATTTAAAAATATTGCATTTGACACACGCGGTAACAGTGTCATCGAGTAAGTTAAATACTTTTCTGAAGGCAGAATCTCACCGTTTAAACTGTGTCCTATCCGTGTAGCACCAGAGGCAAAATCGGTAATTGGGCCGCTTAGGGTTCGAGCCTCAAAAGCTGTCCCGTCCTCTTCCAGGCCGTCGATGAAGAAGCTGATCTTCGTCAGATGCACCTGTATGGGGTGATCACCGCTGTTAGTTCAACTTTGGGACCTTTCATCTTGGGATAAGGACATTTCCGCCGTCTTTCCCAAGTTAATCTTCTATCTCTCCCCTTTCTTCAGTTGGAGAGACAAGAGAGTTTATGGTAATGGCCCCAATGACGTTTATATCGCTAGAAATAAACCTACATGTTGTCGTTTGGGGCTGTGGTGACATCTACCCAGCAAAGTCACAGGTACACACGATTGTTTGTCCCATCCATTTAACTGCTCTGACGGCCACGCTTTTGTAAGTTTTTTGAGGATATGTTGTTTCTTTAGGCACTAAAGAAACGCATATTTGGAAATAAGCAGAAATGAATACAAAAGGGAGAAATATGCACAACCAGATATTGATTTATATATATATGTGTATATATATATATATATATATATACACACATATGATGTAGATATAATTTAAGCTGCTAATACAAAATATTTCCTGTAAACATTTACTTTCTTAGGTGGTAGTAATTCTCAGCTGTACCCTCCCAATATAGAAGAAAAATAAATTTGCTAATCTTTTTTAAGGGCTAATTATTCAGGCAACCTCGTAACTCTCCGCACCAGGCAGCAGCAAACTTCCTGTGTAAACAGCCAGAGAGTAATTTTTTTTTTCATTTGCAAGCAAATGATTTTGCGGATCAAACAATCCAGGTCCCAACGGCTGGGCTCTGAGGCTGCGGCAGGAAGCCAGCCCCAGACCACACGTAAATGACCGAACGCAGTGTCTTCCAGGAAAACCTGCAGAAAAACAGGCGACTGGGCTCCCTGGGCTCCAGTCGCAGGATCCCTGGGTTCACACCGGCCAAAGAGCTTGAGGATCCCTGACCCTGGGTTCACACCATCCAGCCTTACGGATTTTTTTGCTTGTGCAGCATCTCAAAGTTTCATGCAAACGCCTTCCCAGGCGGAGCCTCTACAAACTCTTCACTGACCGCTGCCTGCTAAACAGGCTCATCCGCCGTTTTGACCTCGACTTTAGTCTCCGCATTTTACGTTTTAAAAATGTAAAAGGAATCATTGCTACTCTAATTAGTCAGGGGGCCGAAATGGCGAGAAAAAGGCTGCTGAGGTGCATGGGTCTGGAAAGAGACAGAGAGAGAGAGAAATGTAATGACCTGCAGTGAGATGCTGACATTTTAATAAAAAAATAAAATAAAATCATAGCATTCAAAACACTTTTCTATTAAAACAGCCTCACAGCAATTGATGAAAACCAGCGATTCTTCAACATCTTTAAATCACGCGGGTGACTGCCTCCAGGGCCCTCTGATCCTCCCCTTCTCCCCAAAACCAAACCGACCAAACCAAGAAAACCTTGTCTGTGAACAAAATAATTAATTGGTAAAAGTAATTCCTCCACAAGCTTCCTACTGTGGCTTTTTTCCCATTCCATCAACCCGTCTCCCCGAAAACAGTGCTCTTTCTTAAATGCCCTCTCCCGGCGGGGCCTTTTACTTAATTATAAAACAAAGCTTCAACGCAAGGCCCTAAACTCACAGGCCAGCTCCTCGTGGGTCCGCGTGGGCCCCTCCCGCCGGGTAGGAGGGCTGTGTGTGTGTGTGTGCGTGTCGTTTTTATTTTTTATTTTTTTGCATCCCATTTTTTACAGCCTGTTACTGTCATTCGGTGTTTGACTGTTATCATTATAAAAGATACAGCCTTTTCTACTTTGTTACTGGTAGCATTATCTCATGTTTTACAACATCTTTGAGCAACATGCAGGCGCATGAAATATAACCGGCGGAAAGTTCTCGATGGTATTAATGCATAAAAAAGAATGTGTTCCCATCTCCACTGTCTTTACCCAGCCAAAAGCTGATGAACAGCCAATTTTCCTTTATCACATTAGCACAGCCATGAGGGAAACACATTTGTTCTAGTCAGCTACACTAAAGATACTATTACCAATCTAACATATACATGTTTTATATCAGCGGTATTCTCAGGGCATGAGAGAGCCGGCTATATATTAACACCAGCATGACAGTTTATTTAAGGAAAGAAAATTGTCTGTGTAGAGGGACAGAAGTTAGAAATGTATGGCGAAAGCTCAGTGTCACCGGTCTAATAAAGGTAATAATTCTTGGGCTTTCTTTATAGTAGGTAACACTCCTGTGACAGCTGTGTCATATCATTCAAATAAAAATGTTGTCTTTTACAAGTTTAAGTGCGCCTTTATTTGGAGTCCGATGGAAGGCGTGATTTTGATTTCCTGTGTCGCCTGTAGTATATCCGCAGTCAAGAGTTCAGGACCTTCTCTCTCTCTCTCTTCTTTTTTATCTTTTTTTTCTTTCTCAACTCATCCCCTATGTGCTTCGCGGCAGGACGCGGCGTCCCTCGCCGTGAATTCCAGAAGGGTGTCTTCGCTGCGTTGGGTGCTTAAAAAAAAAAAAGATTAAGGATGATCCCAAGACACCCTGGCCTGCTGTCCCCTCCCCTGCCACCCACCTTTCCATAAATAAGATGGAATCTGGGGGCTCGGCGCCGTGTTTTATATTCCACGATCCTCGAAGCTACTTGGCAATTCAGGTCCGGGGCCCCATCGCCCGGGCGCTGGGGAGCCGGAGGCGGCTTTTTGCAATAGCTCATGCTGACGACCCCCTCGCCGGTTATTTAGGGGGAATGGAAATATATACCATAGAGTCTCCGATTTGTGAAAGACAGACTTCTGCTAAGTGAACTTCCCGCCTCTCTCATTGCCCAGCCCGCTGAGAATGAAAGGAGTTGGTCCGTGTTGCCTGGTGCGGCCGGAAGGAGGTAACCGGCAAAATCAGCAGCAGCCGCCGCCGAAAAGCCTGGAATCTCTCATACGAGAACCGAAATCACTTTGGGGAGAAAAAGATACAGGGGAGCCGGTCATCCTCACGCCTTCGTTCTCAAGCGTCCATACATTATTTTAACTTTTTTAGGGGGACAGATTTGTGTCCCTCTGATAGAATGTACTTGTTCACTTGAGGACAGGAGTGGGTTAGATTTTTTTTTCTTTTTTTTAATATGTCTTTATTGATTTCAGAGAGGAAAGGAGAGGGAGAGAGAGAGAGAGAGAAACATCAATGATGAGAGAGTCATGGATCAGCTGCCCCCTGCAGGCCCCCGACTGGGGATCGAGCCCCCAACCTGGGCCTGTGCCCTGGGCGGAAATCGAACCCCGATCGCCTGGATCCTAGGTCGATGCTCCACCGCTGAGCCACGCCGGCCGGGCAACAAGACGCTTTTAATATCCTGATGGTTGTCTCTGATTTAAGTACTCTTAGTGAGGTTAAGGAATGAAATGTCTTCTTCAAGGAACCGCCCTGAGAAGCTAGGCCCTGACCCATCGGCGCGGGGTGTAGAACATATTTCAGGGCCTTCTCTGTGGGACTTGCCTGCCCAGAATCAACTTCCAGGCCCCCACGCGAACCCATTCCACTGAAAGCAAAGCCGTTTCAAGCATTTGGAAGGACAGCGTTTTCATCGCTTTAACGCAAAGCGACTCGGGGACGGGGCCTGAACTCAGACGCACCCTGAGCAGACGACAGAGGATAGGAGCACAAGGGACATCCTTTGGAACGCGAAGGGGTTCGAACAAAGAAGGGAAACGCTGTGACGTGGCCCCAAAGGGACAGCTTTATGGAGGAGAAAGGTCTCGGCCGTCCCAAAGCCCAGGCGCCCTGAAGTAGAATTTCTGTTTCTGGGTTAGAGAAGGGCTTGTGTAATGGAGACTACTCTTCCGTCTATAATTTTTAAGCGTCAAAGAGGCCATTTCTTTTGAAAACTCCATAAGCCTATGTNGCCATTTCTTCTGAAAACTCCATAAGCCTATGTTAAGATATCACATGAATGTAAGCCCAGGCCTTCTCAGGTTTTCCTCACGCATCCCCCCAACTTAATTTCCCGCCGGTCGCCAGCAGCCAGCGTCGGTGCAATTGGTGAGTGAGGTCCCCCGCACTGTCTAGTGACCGCACGGCGTCTAATTTTCTCCCCATGTTTTACTCAAGCTATTCGCATATGGGGATAACCTGCCTACTGCCTTTCCTGTACCTAAATTTTTAAATACTTTTCAGAATCTATATCTCAAGTCCTACGACCTCCAATAACGCTCTGTCAACTACTCCAGCATTACGTGTTCAGGAGCATTGAGAAATTACCACGTCAGACGTTGTCCTAACATTGTTATGTATATTTAGTCTTTTAGCCTTATAACCACCCCAGGAAGGTTTGCTATTATCTCCATTCTAAAGGAGATAAAGCTGAATCACAGAGAATCGAATGCAAAAAAAAAAAAAGTTATATTATTCAAGGTCACACAGAAGGTCGACTGGTCCCAGAGCCTGTTTTCACCAATTTTAATTAAGCCAATACAGTCAGGTAGCATTTAGAAGGAACAAGCATCTAGTTTATCAGACCATCCGCTGAGCCTCTTTGCTGTAACTACACAGGACGATTCAGGCCTCACGTCAGCGTAACCCTGAGGAGCTCGACGGTCACTGCCACAGGCCTGGCTCTGCGCTGAGTGCCTTGCTCACGTCGCCTCGACTCCTCGGACGGCCTCTCTGCGGCACTGTGACCCCCAAGTGGGGCCTCAGGGGTTTAACTGCTTCCACAGATTTGGGGAACCCTTTCACCCCTGTAATAAATGAACTGAAAGAGAGCACCTTAAAACTTCAACACATAATTCCAGCCCTCGCAATGGGACCTCACCGGACCATCCTGACTGTGCCTTTTCCAGGGCAGAGCCCACGCAGATGCAAACGCAGGTCTCCTTCTCGGCCCGTGTCCCCTTCGGGATGTGCGTGTCCAGCCTCCGCCCTGTCCTAAAAATGCCATGGTTTTGGGTCTCTCTCCTCTTAAAACGTGGCTCCAGAAATACTAAAAAAATCGCCACGTGGGGTCCCGCTGGCCAAATTAAAATAGGATTATCACCTTGACCTAATGCGAAACTGCGAGCGAGATCTTTGGCAAGGACATCACGCAGCCGAAACCGG